GAAAAAAGAAAAAGAAACACTAAACTAAATAGGGGATTCATAATAATCATAAACCTTATTAATTGAGTCGTAAAGTGGGAATTTGAAGAGTTTTAAATTCAAAAATAATTTTTAAATTATTTTAAAAAAATTATCTACATGCTGACTTGAACATGAGTTCTAATATTTGAGAATTATGTAAATGACTCTTTTGATACAACTATCATTAAATCTTTGAATTAAGATTTATTTAAACTTAAATTGCTTAAATATTTGACCTTTTAACAAACCTATGTATTTGGGATTTTCTTTCTTTGTATGGAAAGATCCTCCAAGACATGTATTATTAATCGTTCAAATTAGCGAAATAAATAAATTTGAAGACCTTACACAATTTTTCCCAGTCAAACAAAGTGTAATTATATTGCGGTATTCATGTGTTGCACCACCTTTGTAAAAAGAGTTAATTGCACTTGAAATTTCTAATATTTGTTTGTTGTCTCACTTATATCATTAGCCCTTTTGTCATAATTTTATCTGTAGTTTTTTATTAATTAGCACATCTTATCCTTGGTGACTTTTTTTTTTTTTTTTTTTGAATATTTGTGAGTATTTTTTGAAAACGATAGAATTTTATGTAAATATTAACAAACAAGAAAAATATCATTAATATAACGAAAAGAAAAAAAAATTAGAATAAAATGAGCAAAGGTTGTGTGCTAATTATCGAAGGTTGACAATCAGGACGTGATGAGAATAAATGTTGGAATATAAGTACAATAATAAACAAATATTTGAAGATTTTTTGGCAATTAATCTTTATAAAAATGCCTTAAGTGGTCGAAAGAAATGGAATATCATGGTGTAATATTACTACCTTGTAATCAATATTCTAAAAGAAAAGATATACCTAGTATTACAAATTTCACAACTATCAAGTGACATGAAAGCCTCAGAAATTTAAATGAAGACTAGCACATATTTCATGGAGATTCATATGTAATTTTCTCCTATAAAAGAATGTTATCATAAAAATATGAAGACATGGTAGTTGCAATCTCGAATCTTTCACTAGGTTCTAACATTTCATTATGGCATCCACAATCAGAAACCTTTCAATTCATTACAGTGATACAGTGAGGACAAAATTATAACTTTGCACTTTCCACGTGGAATAATTAAAAACAAAAGAGAAAGGAAATTTAAAAAACTATTTATCTTCTTCCCCAAACTCCAGCCCCCACACTGCAACCACCCTAGACCATAACAACCGAATTCGCCTACCCTCACCATCCTAGCACAATCATCACCATCGCCATCGGTGCTATTAAAAAGAGTTTCAAATTAATTGAGCCCTACAAGTCATCCAGGCAAAGGTGTGACGACACTATTAGGCACGTAAGCACCTGTTGTTAGAGTTGTGACTCAAATAGGAGTCTTGAATTATGTGTTGTTGGTGTTGAAAATGAGTCTAACTGTATTCAACAAGAAGGAAACAAAATTTCGTTGAAACTGGGTTTCCTAATTGTAATATATTTTCTTGCTTTTTAGGGCTATTCTAGGGTTTGAAACCTAGTCTATAAATACAACGCTCCTCTGTCAGTTTTGTTTAAGCATTATTGTTGTATCTGTAATTTCTTTCCATATTGTCAGTTTATAATACATCGTTCGTCTACAATAAATTCTCTTTGTTTATTTCTTTACTTTTAATCTTATTTTTTGTTATGATCTTTTTTACTTCAATATTATCATTAAATCTCATTTTTTACAATCCGATTTGGGATCAACAAGTGGTATCGGAGCTTTCATCCTAATAAGTGGTATCAGAGCCTGGTTCTTCTTCTGTGGATTGGTTGAAGTTTTTTCAAAGATGACTACAATGAGATATGGCATTCCACTGTTGGATCTAATACAAGATTTTCTTTGTGGCAAGTAAAGATGAGGGCTATTTTGGCGCAGTTGGATTTGGACGATGTACTGCTAAGTTTTGAGAAGATGCCAACTGATTGGATAATGGAAGAGAAACAACTGAGGGATCGGAAGGCTTTATCGCAGATTTATCTTTATTTATCCAACAATATTTTGCAAGATGTCTTGAAGGAAAAACAAGCGGCTGCCTTGTAGTTGAAATTGGAGCAGTTATTGAATGACTAAAAATCTCATGAGTAAACTGGCTCTAAAGCAGAAGCTATATTCTCATCGCATGATGGAAAGAATTTCGTTGGAAGATCGTATTGCCATGTTCAAGGAAATTATCACAGAGTTGGAGATGTTAGAGTTTAAGTACGATGAAGAGGATCTTACCTTAACCTGATTATGTTTACTGCTTGGCTTTTATATATTGTTTCGGGACACCATTTTGTATAGTCGGGATACTTTAACTATAGATGATGTCTATGATGCTTTGCACTCAAAGGAGAAGTTGAAGTATTTGGTTGGAGCTACATCAAGGGATGAGGAAGTTCTTGTATTTCATGATGGTCGACGAAGGGGCAGATCAAAAAATAACAGCAATTTGTTTTATTTTTACTACAAACGTAAGGCGACATATTTGAAAGGATTGCAATAAGTTGTAGGCTAAAGGTGATTTAGTTGCAAATCGTGGAATGCAACCTTTAACTTCAGACGAAACAAATGTATTTGAGGATTTTTCAAACGGCGGAGATATGATGTTGACCGTAGTAGCTGACGTAAAATCTAGGTCTAACGAGGAATGGATTCTTGATTCGGCATGTTCACATCATATGTGTTACAATCGGAATTTTTTCAGACATATGAGGCTGTTCAACAAGGTGGAGTTGTAATGGGAAACAACCAATCTTGTCGTATTGCTGGGATCGATCAACTCAGATTTAGGCTACGAGATGGGACAGTCAGAACAATTGATCAGATTCGACATGTTCCAGACCTGAAAAGAAATCACATCTCACTTAGTACTCTGGATGCAAATGGGTATACATTCTTTGGTGAAAGTGGAGTCTTGAAGGCCCAAAAGGGTATCCGGATTGTACTAGAGGCATAGAAAATGTCTTAGTTGTACATCTTGTAAGGGAACGCAAAACCAGTTAAGAGAAATATGGACAAGTTCAGTACCGTGTAGGATATTCAGTTTGGTATAGTATCTCTTATGACAGGCTCTGGGTTGCAAATGGGTATAAATTCTTTGGTGAAGGTGGAGTCTTGAAGGCCCAAAAGGGTATTTGGATTGTACTAAAGACATGGAGAATGTCTTAGTTGTACATCTTGTAAGGGAACACAGATCCAGTTAAGAGAAATATGGATAAGTTCAGTACCATGTAGGATATTCAGTTTGGTACAGTACCTCTTATGATGTGCTCTGGGTTAGTTCAGAACATTGCTGGAGGGAGCGTTGGTGATTCCACTTTGCCACCAATTTTAGCGGTTGCACTATGTTCAGTTATTAGGATTGGATCCATCGAGCATAGATACCACGTTGTCAGTAATGTCTGTAATGCTTTTGAGGACGTTAAATGCGACAGTTCTAGCAAAGGGCCTTTTATTCAGGCATTTTGCATGGTTTCTGCTATAGGGTGTGCTTCGACCCTGTTTGGTAAACATTAATTCCTTAGTGGAATTTTAGGAACCCGGGAGTAGGGTTCAGGTATCGCTTGTAGATTCATGCAGAGGACAATGATTTATATGGAGAGTTTTGGTTACTGCACTGAGGAGATTTGCCATTTCATTTCGATGCAAACATGTTTATTTCTTAGGTGGAGAAATTTTGTGGACCTCCGCTCGTTGCATCGGAATTTGAGTCAAGGTGGAGATCGTTAGAGTTGTGACTCAAATAGGAGTATTGAATCACGTGTTGTTGGTGTTGGAAAGGAGTCTAACTGCATTCAACAACGAGGAAACAAAATTTCGTTGAAATTGGGTCTTCTAAATAGGGCTTGTCAAACCAACCGAACCGAACCCGACAATTTTTCTCAAGTTAAATACCTGAATGGGTATCTAAATTAAGAGCCAACGGGTACGTTTAAGAACCCAATCTTCCAAAATTTTTTATATTGAATAAATCAAATTATTTTAATTGTTTTCTAAACAAATTAACTAATTAGGTAATTGATTGATACTCCATCTCCCAAGCCCTAGCCTAGCTAGCTTAACCCAAGCCAACCCAAGCAATTTCTAAATCTAATTTTTCAGCCCAATTATTTGTTTCATTTCTATTTTTTTAATTTTTAGCCTAAGTGCCCTTTTTATTCTTCCATTTCTTAGCCCAACATCCAAGTGATCCAACCTACTAATGACTAATCCTAAATGAATTACATACATTATCACCTACCCATAACACATTTGACATTCCAAAACCCAAATAGAAGTATAGAACCGTCGACTCCAAGTCCGAAGCTGTGACCTCCGGGTTTCGATCGAAGCTGTGACCTTCGAGCTCCGACCACGACCTCTGACCATTGATCATTTGAACAAGGCAGTGTATAAGCTTCCCTATATGTGATTTAATCTGTTTGAGTATTTGTATTTGGATTTTGATCGAAAATGACTTCATCAACCACTAATGT